GTACACACACGTCGTTCTCGGCTTACCCTGTTGAAGACGCTCATCTCCTCTGCAATCGTTGCGCAGCCTCTTATCACTGATTAATGTAAACCCTACACACCGTGACGAAAATGTCTGGATCAGTGAAATCGTTTCGCAACCTCGAGGTCACCCACGACTCCAAGGAACTGGCAAAAACCACCGCCGGAGCCTCGACGTTGCCGGAATTGATCACAACAATTCCGCGTGCCTATCAAGTACTCCTCGGAGACTATCTCAGCAAGAAGTTTCGTGTCGCACACAAACATGCCAACGTTATGTCCACGATCTCCTTATACGAAAGGCACAACACCGATTCATCCTTCCCGCCTATCGTTCGCAATAGCCTGAAGGAACCGAAACTCCAGTTCGCGAAAGAATTCCTGTCCAGCACCCAAGGCTCAGCGTCCCCTGAGACGTTCAAGGCCGCTGTCGAACAGGCCCGCAAAAATGTGCTGACCGCGGCTATCAAAGAAAAGAAGAAAGAGTCAGCACACCTGGCAACGCTTACCACGGTCGAGACAGACGTCTGGCAGGAGAGATGCCGCCAAGTCGCTCGCACCATAGCCGAAGCCAACGGTGGAGGGATGGACAAGACCGATGCTGGTAAATTTACCTTCAGAGGTCTTCCCCCCACTGCAGAAGCAGAATACAAAATGCTTCTAGATGCTTGTGCCGTCTACACCTACCGGTGTTTGACGTTGGCCAGAGCATCGATTGATCGCGCCGAACTCCAGAAACTTGCCAAACTCAAGGTCAAGGAGACTACGGACGTGGAAATGACGGATGTCGGGAAGGAGCAACCTGTTCGCGACATTATCCGTGAGGAGATGAAATCCCTCGAAGCCAAGTTAGCTTCCAAAATCGGTGAGAACCCTCCAGCCCAAAAGCGGAAGGCTCCCACGCTGACAGACACCAGGACAAGCAAATGGCAGGCAATCCAACGGTCGGGCAAAAAAGAATCCCTCCCCCAACGGAGTGAAGAAAACCAAAGCGAAGGCCAATGGATCCAAAAAGCGCTCGCAGAAGAGGAAATCTCGGTAGATGCCTTCATGCAGCAATGTTCAAAGGAATTCCGTCCGTGGCTTCCGGAGGAATATCCCAATGTGTACTGTAATTTGAGTGTTAGGTGCAGAACGAAGATTGCTTTCTCTTTCCTGAAATGTTGGGAAGCGGATTCTATCAGAACCGCTAGACCAGGAGTTTTCAAGCATCCCGACGTCACCCTCCCAGAAGACGTCGAGTACCTGCTGGCTGTCAACCACAAGTACATCTTACACCCAAAACCACAGGACCATGACGTGCTTGAAGCAAAGGACAAGTTCGCAAGAGCAGTCCGCGTGAAGTGGCAATTTCGCAAAAGCGAACGTCAAAACCAGGAGTTTATACCCAAATTCCATGTCCCGAACCCCACCTGGCAACCGCAACCAGCCTCAGCGGCGATTGAGCTTGGTATCGAAGAGGCGATGAAAGAGATTGACAACCAAGTTGGTCAGGCTCTTTCTCGCGCCGCCTCGATTACCCCCAAACATGGAAACATGAATTGGACCAGGGCTCAAGACTTTCTACTAGAAAACAATCTAGTAGTCAAGCTCACAGATAAAAATCTGGGACTTGCGGTCTTCCCAAAAGAGTGGTATGTTCACGAATGCATGAAAATGCTAGGAGATCTATCAACCTATCGGATGATAGACTCCCTGGACACGGAAGAACTCCTCGGCCAACTTATCAATAAGATACCTAAATGGTACCTGCCCAAGAATATGGAGCGCTTCGTGAGAGAAAAAACAACAACCAGAGTACCAGTGTTTCACACGATACCAAAGGTTCACAAAAACCCATGGGCGTTGCGACCCATAGTTCCCTCACACTCGTGGGTAACTAGTCGTCTCTCTGAAGTTATTGATCATCTGTGCCGTCCGATTCTCGACCATTTGCCGTGGGTTGTTGGTTCTACCAAACAGGTGATCCAACAACTGGAAGAGATACGGGAAGATTGTGAAGATGTTTGGATATGCACGGGAGATGTAGTTGCATTCTACACCAACATCGATGCGACCGAATGTGCCGAACTGGTGAAAGGTGCATGGGCTCGTTATTTCCCACAATCGAAAATTCGCGCCCGATTCATTGCCCAAATGATTCGGTTCGTGATGCAAAACAATTTCTTTTCGTTCCAAGACCAGATTTACCAACAGACGAAAGGGTTAGCCATGGGTACGGCATCTGCACCCGTTCTGGCCAACATCTACGCTGGGTATTTCGAGCGACATCTGAAGATTCCCTTCAAGAAAGGGGTGGTCAAATACATGAGATACATCGATGACGTACTCATGATCTTCAGAGGAACGGAAAAAGAGTTGACGGACTTCATCGCTGAGTACCAGCTAGGTCCACTGACCGTCAACTGGGCTTATTCAAGAACGAAGATCGAATTCCTTGATATTGAAATCATGCGAATGAGGGACCTGACGGGTACCAAACTGGTGACTCGCCTCTTCAAGAAACCAATGAATAAGCACTTGTACATCCCATGGTCGTCAGCTCACCCTTCACACGTGAAGAAAGCCTTCGTCAAGGCTGAGCTCATACGATTTGCCATAGTCAGTTCCGAAGTCGAGTATTTTGCAGATGCTCGCAGACAGTTCTATGGCAATCTTCGCCGGAGAGGGTATCCGAGCGAAGCACTGGAAGACTGGTTCCGCCAAGTGTCGTACGAACAACGGCCCCTGTTTCTTACCTCAAAAAAGGAAAAAGAACAGGATGCGCCACTTATGTTGTCCGGACAGTATAATCCAGTGTGGGAGTACATAAACGTTGATGAGATTATTCGATCAGCCAGAAGGTTCTGGACTTGGGAAAGAGAACTGCCCGACAGCCTTCAACAACCGCTGATTCGAAGTCTCCGTCGATATACGAGTCTTGGTGACTTGCTGTCGATGTGGAACAAGACGGTGTTACACCCTCCTATGTTGGATTCAGAACGTGAGCAAACGGATGTCAGTAGGATACGCGGTGGTCTGGGCGTTGTCCCGCTCACGTATAGGAACGCATCCGGCCCTGAGAGGAGAACGTCTGCTTGATTGCTTTCTAGTATCGTCGGTGGGGTGAATCATTAGTAAGGGGATGTGCCTATTGCAAGGGGGATCGGCCTCTATGGTCCTACCGAATGCACTGGTGCTGGGCTCTTTCTCGTTGGATGAAGTGTCTGGATGAAGAAGTGCCTCCGGGTGAGTCACGTGGGGACGTGACGCTTAAAGACTTTGCCCTTTCTAGAGCCTCTCGCCTTCCGGATGCCGGCATCTCCTGCCATGGTCAGGAGGATCACAAGTCGTGATTGTTGCTTGCCTTAGACCTCCCTTCCAACCTCTGGGATTTTCTGTACACTCCAATCAACAATCAAGCTGTAGGGGGTGCTCACGTGGTACGCTTCATAGGGTTCAAAACCCTAACCCCCCTAATCTGACAACCCTAATGTAATACCTTCGGTGGAAAGATTATCCGGTGCTGACGGGCCAAGGTTTCTCCGGATCCCTCG